AACAAACAAATAAATAAATAAATAAAACTTGTAATAAAAATCGCGACTTACAGGTCTGGTAGTTAAAAAGCAGCTAGTAAGATAAAAAGGATGGGGAAAAAATGGAGCGGCAAACCCGTATTGAAGCACAGTCCAGAATCCAAAGGCAAAGTCCAAGTGGTCCGTAGTCGAGTAGAGGAGACAATCGTGAAAAAAGGGCGGGAAACCCGGGAAAGGGGTTAATCAGTCAGTCCAAATCTAAGCCGAGGGGTAACAATAAATCAAGGAAGAATACAGAAATTGTAGTCAGACAGTCTGTGGTCGAATAAAGCCTAGTCTTCAGAAAAATAGGGAGCTCTAGTGCGAGAAGTTCCTGTCGCCAAGGCGGAAAAAAATGGAACTGAAGTTGAGGTGGGCAGAGCATGCACTGTAGGGGTAACTTGCTACTACAGTCGTGCTTTGCTAGACAGTTACCCTGCATGACAGTTTTTTCGCTAGACACTGACTTTTTGAGATCGTTATAGCAATTCGCAAAACAGCGATTCCTATGGGGGAATTTCGCTGGACAATGTTTGGTCCCTGCTTCGTAAACTGATTTTCACTAGACAACAATTTTGACAGCTCCCTCCGCGCGCGCAAAACAGGTGTTTTCAGGACCTCAGCTTCGCAAGACAGCGATTTAAACAGCTGATCGGCGGTTCCCAAAGCGGCTTTCCTATGGCCGATCTTCGCTAGACAACGACGATTCTTCCCAATTGGAACGCATTAAACAGGTTTCAATGCATTCCGATGGGGAAATGCTTTTCGCTAGACAATGATTTCGCTAAACAGTGATTTCAGTGGAACGGATTATCATCGTCTAGCGAGGCACCACTGTAATTTTTTCTCTAAAAGCTCTAGAAGATTCCGAGGAATCCTGTGCAGGTGCAGTTTAACCCAGTTCTATGCATTCACAGAGGCCACGATGAAGAACCATCGTATCCCTTTACAAAACCACTTTGATCAATCAGGCATTCTGTTTTCCTTTGAAATTTGTCTGCCTTCTGGAAAAGGCAGGCTATCAAGAAAGATTAGCCAGCTGTGTTATGGCTACAAGCAGGTCATAACACAACTTGAGCAGATTAAGAAGTTACTTTAAAGAGACCACTCCAAAAATTTTATACAAGGAGGCACAAAACTACCATATTACAGTGGACCTAATTGTTCCACAGTGCTCAATGGCTGCTCACTAAAAACCTTAAGTATCACTGAGATGGAATCACTCTCACAGCCCCCAATCCCAGCAAGAATCCAAGATTGTCACAGAATTCTGTTACTGCGTCTTTCTCTATTAAATTCTGAGTTATTAAACTAAGACCTTTGTCAGTTTATTCTCCAAGTCCACATCTTCCCTTTCTTCATATTATTCCTGTTGGAGTTACAATGTTCCCCAATTTTTAGATAATCCAAAAATGCTACAGATGGATAATTTTCTTCAGCTCTACAAGTAGATAAATTTATGGAAGGGGCTATCCCAACACACTGATAGTTGTCCCATGAGCTTCCCCTTTTTCTGTGGTGTGTTTATGTGGATTAAATAAATACCCCCTCCCCTCTTCAACATTGCAGCAACCTCTGCATTCCAAACCACATCACTCTAAATCCTTGCTAGTTTATGAAATGCTTACAACAGCTGCGTGGATGTTAGAACTGTCTCTGCCTTGCAGGTTTGTATCTTCATGCTGATTTATATTTATTTATTTGATTTATATACCACCCATCTGGCAGCCAGGGCCACTCTGGGCAGTTTACAACAAATAGACAAGCAACACAATAACAAATGAAACTGATGCTTCCCCACAATATTTTTAAAGCAAATGTATTTTGACATCTAGTAACTTGGTGTTGCAGCTGCTTCCCAATGTATTGCATACATATTGATGTACCATATTTGCCGGCGTACAAGATGACTTTTTGGGCCCAAAAAACATGCCTCCAAGTGGGGGGGTCGTCTTGTATGCCAGGTGCACTGAATGACGTGGGGCCGCGCTGGTCGGGGAGGAAGGCAGGTGGGCAGGCAGGCAATCGGTCTGGATAGAGGGAGGGAAGCACAGCCTGCCATGCCTGAGTGGCCAGAGCCCGCCGCCGGGCTGCCCGCTGTCCCGCGCCACTGAGCCAGCCGCGCACGCCGCCCATTTCCCTTTTCCTTCCCCTCCTGCCGCCGTCCACCCAGCCTCTTCCGTTCTTCCCCGCCCTCTTGCTGCCATGCCTGAGCCGCCCCCGGGCTGCCCGCCGCCCTGCGCCGCTGAGCCTGCTGCGTCCTCGCTCGCCCGCCACCCGCCCGCTTCCCCTCTTCCTCCTCCTCCTGTTGGGGGGGTCGTCTTATACGGCCAGTCGCCTTGTGCGCAAATACGGTACATAAACATCTTTAAAATTTCTCTGCTAAATACTGTATGAATGTGATTTAGTGAGTCCAACCTGTGTTAAGATGCACTATTGCCATGTCCTGTAAAGCCAGTTCATTGGGTTCTTCCACACAGTACCATGATAGACAGATAGGCAGGAAGGAATTCCGCTCCAATGTTGGAGGCATTCAAGAGAAAACTGGACAAACTTCTGTCAGATCTGCTTTGATTTGGATTCTGGCGTTGAGTAGGGAGTTGGCCTCCACGGCCTTCTAGGCCTCTTCCAACTCAATTACTCTTATGTTTCTAAAAGTCATCTTATGGGTGTGCATTCCCAGAACATGTACAAGTTCTCACATATGATCTTAACAGCGTAATGCTCACTTCCCCATCCAACTTGATTTGTACCCCCCAAAATGAGAGAAAGTTTATAGGCCTTACTTTAACAGACTCTGGTTGCATCACAGGGGCTGGAAGAGCTATGGCACTCTGTGCATAAATTTGATGATACGTTGCTTGAACTCCATGATCAGAATATGGCTAGCATGCAAAAACAGAAACACTTCTATGTAGTTCAATGTAAGAAAAACATTAACCAGAAATTTTATTTTATTCAAACTATTTTTTTCACATTTAATTAGGAACATAACAGTATACTGACCCTGGTAATATGACTGTCTTGAAATCACTGGCAAAGCACAGAACTGTATCTGATTTTTATATGCTCCTGATCAAAAGCTGCGGCTATCTTTTTCATTCTTTTTTAAATTTTGGCTGATTTGGAGCAAAAAGGACTTTGTAATGTAGATGTAACAGTGACACATGTAGAAAGCTAAATAACAATGAGAGGAATAGAAGGATATTTGTCCTGAAGGAAAGGCAGAGACTGAACTGAAAAAAGGAGCAGAAATTTCTTTGCAATGGGTCTGAAGACACCAAACAAACAATTCATCTAACTAGATTCTAAGGCAGCAGTTGTAAAATCCATGAAATTGGAATTTAGTGGGTCAGAACTTTTTCCTTAAAAGACAGGAAATGTTTTTAACATTCAACTATCTCATTATTTTCTCCAACATCAGATGGCTATTAAAACTGTTTTTGTGGTGACTTGCCTCATCCGTTTTGTCAAAGAGCGGCTAGGGACACACCTAAGTGTACAGAGTTAAGGTAAAGGCTCCCCTTGACATTAAGTCCAGTCATGTCTTTATCTAGGGAGTGGTGCTCATCACTGTCTCCAAGTCGAAGAGCCAGTGTTTGTCCGTAGACAGTTTCTGTGGTCACGTGGCCAGCGCGACTAGACACGGAACACTGTTACCTTTCCACCGAGGTGGTACCTATTTATCTACTTGCATTTTTAACGTGCTTTCGAACTGCTAGGTTGGCAGGAGCTGGAACAAGCGATGGGAGCTCATTCCGTGGCATGGATTCGATCTTACGACTGCTGGTCTTCTGACCTTGCAGTACAGAGGCTTCTGCGGTTTAACCCGCAGCGCCACCACGTCCAGACACCCACACCCGTACACCCATACCCGTATACCCACACCCGTACACACACAGACACACAGACACACAGAGCAGACGTTCTATCTGTTATACTGCCAGAAACAAATTTAATTCCACACACCACTCTCAAAATTCAATGAGACAAAATAAAGAACTTCACAACAACCAGCACCTTATACAAGCTGTGTGCAACAGGCATGTCAGAGTATGAGAAAATTCTGCTTATCCCTAAGAAACCAAAGTCACAGGAGAAAGGCTATTTCTGCCCAACAGAGTTTCTATTTAATTCCTTATATACAAGTAACTGACCGTGTATCACTTTTAGAACTTCAAAGCTGGAAAGGACCCTATGGACCAAGTTCAGCCCCGTCAAGGCACAGTGGGAATCAAACTCCCAACCTCTAGCTCCACAGCCAGATGCCTAAGCCACTGAGCTATCCAGCAGTTGTCAGTCTATGGCCTTATCCAAATGGAGTTTCTGTTGCTGTAAATGTTACTGGTTCATCACTGATTATTCCAGGATTTGCTCCACCATTTTTATGATGCAATATTTGTTCCAGAAACAAATTCCATGCCCTCCTGAGCCTTTCTGTCCCTGCTGCCTTCATGAGATTTTCTGGTTCTTGGGGTGGGGATGGGATAGTTTTGCAATGAGGCACCTCCTACATATAATAATCTTAAACCTCATCAAATAGGGCCTGTAAACAAATATTCTTGTTGCTGACTAGCAGCACCAGAACCCTGAGCTAGAAACAGCTGCTGCTTCATTTCTATTTCTCTCTGTTCTATAAACCAACACTTTGCACTTTGCTACTACAAAGAGTTAAGGATAAAGGAGACACTGATATTAGAGCAAATCCTCAAGCACCAAGGAAATAAACTGTCACCTCATCTCTCCCTGCTCTTCCTTCATTTAATCCAATCTCTCTTGTTAATCTGCAGGCAGGATAATGCTAATTCCCACTAAAAACAGGGAAAAGAAAAGAAAGCTTTGGGTTGGCGCCTGGGAATTGACAGTAAGAGTGTGGTCTCCTTTTCACTAAATCTTTTGAGGCAGGAATAAGCAAGCAAGCAAAGCACTGGCTTAGGGAACATAGAGAAGTAGGCAAGATAAAAAGTATCCTTTTTCGCTCTTTGACATGGAGCATTTGCACAAGTACATGTACATCTACATAGGAATAAAGCTGGTTTTTCCATATTTCCAGCAGCGGGAAGTGCAATACAGCTTGTGGTTGTGAATCCTTGTAACTGCAGATATGTTTGTGAGAAAATGGAGCTATAAGTACTGGTAACCAGAGAAACAAACATACAGCCCTTTAACAAAAAATTCTACATGAGGACAGCCAATTCTGTCCCCTAGCAATTTAATGATAACTGAAAGGTAACATTCACTATGCACGGTTTCTAACAGATCTGTCTAGTATACAAGCATTTTATAGAGCAGACACAGTTTTTAAATATTTTTCTGAATATAAATACCTCTGGAACTGCAGCTTCCATCAGAGAAAGAGAAGGAACACATCCACCATCTTGTGCAATTTCCAGTGGTTGATAAGTAATTTCAGAAGGATGCAGATAGAAGAATGAGGTGGGAGAAGCAGGAGACTAAAGAAACAGAATTAAAAAAAACCACAAACCACTAAATTCTAAGACCTCAGATTAACAAAGGAATTAGTTTTAATATAAAAGTCTAAAACAAACATAATTACTATATATAATTATCTCCAAAATATGACACAAGAGCTAGATCAAACATGACTAACATTCAACCATGTCCACACTACTCCTATCAACAAAGTTTAATTTTTAAAAAAATTACATTTGAAGAATATGGCCTACAGTAGAATTGACTACATGTTCACCTACAGCCAGCTCGTCCCTCATCCAGTACTTCCTCTCCAATTATATTTATGTTCTGGAATTTTTTAATGGGAAGTCATGCTCTCCTAATGTCTGCTGCCATAGATTGGAAATCATGACTTTCTCATTCAATAATTCCAATCAAATTTTAAGCCATATTGCAGTGACCCAAACATCTTGCCAAACAAACGACAAAGCAGCTGAATTTCGCCCCTGATCCTAATTACCACAGCCAGTGCCCTTCAGTGGGAGAATCCAGATGCCTGCTTTTTATTACCGTGTGCTGCAATCATTAAATTTTGCTGAAAAAGATATTCTTTCTTATTTCAGAAATTGTGAAATCTCAACATCATTGTGTCAATTGACAGTAAGAGTGTGGTCTCCTTTTCACTAAATCTTTTGAGGCAGGAATAAGCAAGCAAGCAAAGCACTGGCTTAGGGAACATAGAGAAGTAGGCAAGATAAAAAGTATCCTTTTTCGCTCTTTGACATGGAGCATTTGCACAAGTACATGTACATCTACATAGGAATAAAGCTGGTTTTTCCATATTTCCAGCAGCGGGAAGTGCAATACAGCTTGTGGTTGTGAATCCTTGTAACTGCAGATATGTTTGTGAGAAAATGGAGCTATAAGTACTGGTAACCAGAGAAACAAACATACAGCCCTTTAACAAAAAATTCTACATGAGGACAGCCAATTCTGTCCCCTAGCAATTTAATGATAACTGAAAGGTAACATTCACTATGCACGGTTTCTAACAGATCTGTCTAGTATACAAGCATTTTATAGAGCAGACACAGTTTTTAAATATTTTTCTGAATATAAATACCTCTGGAACTGCAGCTTCCATCAGAGAAAGAGAAGGAACACATCCACCATCTTGTGCAATTTCCAGTGGTTGATAAGTAATTTCAGAAGGATGCAGATAGAAGAATGAGGTGGGAGAAGCAGGAGACTAAAGAAACAGAATTAAAAAAAACCACAAACCACTAAATTCTAAGACCTCAGATTAACAAAGGAATTAGTTTTAATATAAAAGTCTAAAACAAACATAATTACTATATATAATTATCTCCAAAATATGACACAAGAGCTAGATCAAACATGACTAACATTCAACCATGTCCACACTACTCCTATCAACAAAGTTTAATTTTTAAAAAAATTACATTTGAAGAATATGGCCTACAGTAGAATTGACTACATGTTCACCTACAGCCAGCTCGTCCCTCATCCAGTACTTCCTCTCCAATTATATTTATGTTCTGGAATTTTTTAATGGGAAGTCATGCTCTCCTAATGTCTGCTGCCATAGATTGGAAATCATGACTTTCTCATTCAATAATTCCAATCAAATTTTAAGCCATATTGCAGTGACCCAAACATCTTGCCAAACAAATGACAAAGCAGCTCAATTTCGCCCCTGATCCTAATTACCACAGCCAGTGCCCTTCAGTGGGAGAATCCAGATGCCTGCTTTTTATTACCGTGTGCTGCAATCATTAAATTTTGCTGAAAAAGATATTCTTTCTTATTTCAGAAATTGTGAAATCTCAACATCATTGTGTCTGCATAACTGTGTCTGATCTTACTTTCCCCCCTCTTGTATTCTCTATCTACTTCCCTTTCCACTTTTCAAAATCTACAAGCAATTAAAAAGCATTCCGTTGTGAGAGTGTGTGGGACACCATCTCAACCAGTAATTCAGGGAAAGTAATGAATCTACTGACTGTATAGCCAATTGTCTTTTATAGCAAGTTGTCAATGTATAATCTTTCACCCTAGATCTTCTTTGGGATCCACAGGAAACAGTGCAGCTGAAGTGATATTTAACATATTCTCTCCTTTCAAAATTGTTCCAAGCCAGCAGCATACTTGCTAAGAATGGTCAACACACACCTCTTGTGTCATCATGATTCTGTTAGCATGATGTGCCTTTAATGTAGAATGGTCAACACACACCTCTTGTGTCATGATTCTGTTAGCATGATGCGCCTTTAATGCAGCAATAAGCAATAAAGAGAGCTAGGAAGATGCAGCAGGTTCAAATCCCTGATCAGCCACAAAGGTTATTAGTGACCAGCACAGTCCCTATGTTTCAGCCCCACAGCTTTTTCATAGTTATTGCAGGGACAGAAGTGGAGGAACTGGACCATTTTCACTCTCCTGAGTTCATCAGAAGAAGGGTATGCAATACATGTAATCGACACAGCGGCCTTAGTCATAGTATATCACTGTAGGGTTATGACTGATGAATGCTATCATTGTCTTTCATGTAGAAATGAATTATGGAAACATTTGTCTGTTTGCTTTTAAAAAAATTATGCCTATTACTCAGAGATGGTGATTCTACCTCTCAATCCTGCCACCTTTTCGAGGCCTAAGATCGCTACTTGTGGCTTTCATCCAAATGGCACTGGCTACCATGGGTTGAAAATGGTAATTCTCTATCTCTCTCCCATGGTAGGACTAGGTTTTGGTAGAATACATCTGACCCTTGGATACCATTCTCAGAGGAAAACTTTGAACAATACATAAACAATAATACATGGGCCCAGTTTCTTTAAGAGAGAGGCTTAAATAGCTTCCATGTCTTTTTCAGCAAGTGGGGGCTAAGAAGTCAGACAGAAACTAGAATGGAAAAACTGCTGTGCTTTCTGTAGTGAATCTGATACTGACTATTGCTCTGGACAGTTTCCTTTGTGCTAACTTATTTATGCAGTGATTTTTAAAAAACACTGTATTAACTCGTGCATTAAAGGCAGACATTCTTTTTCCAACATCGATGTCTATGTGTTTCTGTATTTCAACATGCAGAAAAGCCCATTCACAAAGAGAGAACCAACCAACTATTCTTCTGTTTGAAGGAGACAGTCATAGTGGAGTTATAACACCAGAAGTAAAGGAAATTGAGGCCAGATGCACCCTTTTGCACTTTAACATTCACCCCAAGTACACAATGCAAGTGTTTACCCAAGAAGACTAGGCCCATTAAACACAATATAATTTCATTCCCCCAAACACGGATCAGTTGGGAATGGATTAGTAAAGATTATGTAACTGGATAGGATTGTACTGCATATCTGTTGTCTGCAGATGGCAACACAAACAAAGCCAGTGATTTGTTCATCTCTTCTACTCTAGAAGTGAAGTAGTTTGTAGGGAGTAGCAAGTGTGACAAGATTGTAACATTTACATGCGGTGGAAGTTAAGTTATAAAAGGGGGGCATTAATGTGCCTACATGTTGAGTGAAGGGTGTTTTATCTACACCATAATCTGTCTTCTTCTGAAGGTGAAACTTCAACCATAACGCTTTGCTTTAAATACTTTGGAAATGAAAATATAAAGCAGATTGAACATAATTTACCTGTGGTATACTCCACTGCCATTGTCCTGGAAGACACTGTGCAGGAGCCTATGATAATGGAAGAGAATAGTGTACAAAATTCTGCATGGTCAAAATCCCCAATCAACACAGTTACAAAGTTTGTAAAATGAAGTAAATCCTGACATTAATAATAACAAAGTGAAGTAAAATAAATTGATAAAAGCCAAGATCACGTATCTATATAACTCTATAGTGGTTCTTTGTTTAGTAGTACATAATACCTACAATCACAATTACAGAAAATCTCAATTTAGTTATCTGTTATTTCCCTCATTTGATGTCACAATCTTGTCACAAAAATCCTTCAAATTTTACCTGATAATGGTACGTAGGTTGCTGATAAACAGGCTGAGCTACCATCACAGGGGAAGTCGATATCGAACGTGACTTTAAGAAAATATAGAGATCAGAATCTTACTGAGCTGTCATTGTGTATTTGAAGCACTACAAAGACATTCATATACCTAGATCATTATTCTTTTAATCAAATGCACTAAAAAAAACCCAAAACATACACACAAAAACAAAAACAGGGTTGCCAATCCAGAGTTGCAATAGTTATTCCCCTTTTAATGTTTCGCACAAATCCTCCCTACCTTACCTTCCCAGGGCTTGATCCTACCGACAATAAGAAATGCTGTTGTATATTGTTCCACTTTTGTAAAAAAACAAGTTTAAAATAACATGACATAAACAGAAATACAGATTATTTTATCAGGGAAGTATGTTTCCTGTTTGGAAAGTGACATAAAAAACTGTTCCACCAGAAGGTTCTTTATTTTAGTATGCATAAGAAACTGTGATTTATTTCAATCATTTCTGCATGTCTAAATGCCTCTGCTGCTGCAAACTACATCTTTAGATACCAGAAGAGGCAGTAGGAGAGGTGGTGGCAGCAACAAGACCTGTAGCGGGGAGGGGGGGAGAATGGAGAGACAGGCACAGGAAGTTTTAGAGGAAGGGGAGGGCGTGGCCAGTCCACTGCAGAGTTCTAAAAGTGAACTGTCTTTGGGCAAAAAAGAAAAAGAAAAAAGAATCAGAGGCACACAGTCCACTGCAGAGTTCTAAAAGTGAACTGGGCAAAAAAGAAAAAGAAAAAAAGAATCAGAGGCACAGATCCTCATGATTTTTATGTAGGACCATCCCCAAAACAATCTCAATCATTGGCACCATCTCTACCCACAGATTCGACAGTGGCTTGAGGATGATCTCAGGTTAAATCATATGAATCCATGAGGATACATGCTTGGATCACTGTTTCTGTATCGCTGCAAAGTAAGGCATCCTTCATTTCTGTGGCGTAATCTGTGGGTAAAAATGGGACTGACGGAGCATTCTTAAAGGGATAGAAGCAACCAAGCTTTCTAAAGGGGCAAGCAGCTTTTCCCTCTCTCTTCCTTCCCTCACCACAGCAGCAGGGGCAAGTGGCCAGCATGAGGGCAAACATAGAACAAAGTCTCGAATGCAATGAGTTTAAAAACCAGTGTAGCTCCCTCAACTGAAATACAACACAGCTTAAAAAAGGATTCTAAATTTTCCCAAACCCAAATACCATGTGACTACCACATGATTTCTAAATCAGTCCCATTTAGAATGGAGCTTATTGTGTGGCAAATATAAACAAGCCCTTAGTTAACCACAGTATAGCGTTATATTGGCATTTATACTAGGGCTAACTTTAAATTGGAGAATTTGAAATTTGGACTTGAAACTTGTTTCAAATTCTGGTTTAGAGATAACAGTTATTAATATTGTGCAGATAGTGGCTGAAATCTAGTAACATAAAGTTATGTTGTGTAAGCCTGATGATGTAATTGACCACTGACATACTTTGTTAATAAAGTTTCCTAACCCGCGGCGCCCCCGCCCCCCCCCATTTTGAAGGGTTCCTTGGCTTCCTCAGATTCCTTTTGATCTTAGGGAACCTTCGGAGAACAGAATGAGAGAATGTGTCTTAAATGTTCGATAATTATGTTCTCCATTCCCTCCATGGCTGTCAGAAACAGCAGTGGTGATTTTCAAACATCTAAGACTCTATTCTGCTATCCTCAAAGGCTTCCCCAGGACTAAACGGATCCTAAGGGAGCCTAGAAACCTGGGGCAGGGATGGGAACAGAAAACTTTTAATTGACAAAATACAGCCATGGCTGATGACATCATCATGCTTACATGGTATAACCTGACATTACTGAATTTCAGCCCGGTGACATTTAATGCTGTAAGTTGGGGTACCCTATATTGATCAGGCATCCTTCAGTCTCAAGAGATGATGGTAACGTGCTCTGAATAGAGGTCTTGGAGCAGCATCTAGTGTGGCTGAGAAGGCCAATTCGAGAGTGAAAATCCCTTCCACACTGGAGACAAATATACAGTGGTGCCTCACATAGCGACGATAATCGGTGCAGCAAAAATCGCTGCAAAGCGATTTCATTGCTATGCGATATTAAAAAGCCCATAGGAATGCACTGACACCCCTTCAATGCATTCCTATGGGCTTCAGACTCACCTTTGAACGAAAATCCTCCATACGGCAGCCATTTCCGCTGCCCAGTAAGCGAGGAATCCATCCCAGAAAACAGCAGGCGGCCATTTTTTTTACCTGGTGGTCATTTTGGAACCACCAATCAGCTGTTAAAAAATCATCGCAAAGCGATGATCGGTAAGCAAAACAGGGAACTGATCATCGCAAACCGATTTTTCCCCATTTAAAACATCACAATGCAATCGCTTTTGCAATCGCAAAATCTTCATCGCTATGCAATTTTGTCATTAAAAAGGGCACCTGTTAAGCGAGGAACCACTGTAATCTGTCCCCTGTCCAGCTCCCTGGTTTGGCTGGTTTCGGGATTGCCTCTTTGCCTCCGCCTGCTAGGCAAGGGTCTCTTCAAAATGCAAGAGGCCATGATGCACTGCCTGCCTCCAGGCTGAACGCTCAGGTGTTAAGGTTTCCCATCTGTTGAGGTCCATTCCTAAGGCCTACAGATCCCACTTGCAGATAGCCTTGTATTGCAGTGGGGTCTCCCTCTGAGGTGATTTCCCTGCACTAATTCTCCATACAGGAGATCTTTTGGAATCCGACCATCAGCCATTCTCATGGCATGCCCAAGCCAACATAGGTGTCGCTGTTTCAGTAGTGTATACATGCTAAAAATTTCAGCTCATTCTCGGACTACTCTATTTGGAACTTTGTCCTGCCAGGTGATACCAAAAATGTATCGGAGATAACGCAAATGGAATGTGTTCAGTTTTCTCTCCTGCCGTGCACAAAGGGTCCAGTACTCACTACAGTACAAGTGTACTCTGGACCATTTCTTAAGTTAGGAAATGACTGAATGGGTGTATCTCCTACTGATTCTCATTGTTTCTTTCAATATTTATTCTACAACTAATGATCCCTAAATCTGAATATATCTTATTTTTTGGCATGAGTATGTGGTATATTCTGTTTGGCTGGCAGGGCTTGTTCTCTGTAGCATTTCCACTTGCATTATTTTATCTTGCTTTTGGCTTCTGTGACTGCCTGTGTCAATCCTTCAGAAATGTCCAGCTGACACCCTTGATACATAGAGTGAAACATGGTGATGTACAAAGTGAACCCTACACCTTTTGCTTGCCTTCTGCTGGCACTAGTAAGGACAGCTGCAATGCAATTTGTAAAGTGTATTTTTACAAAAAAAAATCCTAGTTTAGCACTGTAGCTAAACTTGGTGCTAAACTGATACAGCACTAATTCAAATGCTTGCCATGTCTAGTCAGTTGAGTGCTAGTTCAATGGCTAAACGTTAAAAAAAAAGAGGAAGGTATCTGAATGTCAGTGAAAGGGATGGGTAACAGAGTGATAATAATGGCAAAGGAAGGTGAGGGAGAAAGGAGAACTGTGTAATGTATGGACACTTGAAATGTACCTTCCTGGGACAATTTCTGTGTGAACCATAATAACAGTTTAAATGCAGAGTGTGGTACAGTGACATTTGTATCAACCCAGCACAAACCTGTATGTGGTCACTCCCTAACCTATAGTCGTATCATTAGGAACAAAAGTTAAGTGCAGCACATAAATTTAGAATTTGGGAGTAAATTACTAAAGTACCAAATCAACCTAAGCAATTGATCTTGTCTAACTTCAGAAGAAAAGCAGGGTCACACCTTGTCATGATCCTGGGAGACCATCATTATTAGGGATCTTCAAGCAACTGCAGAAATAAGTCTTAAGCTGAAAACTTGGACAGCCACTGTGAACTTTTTTAGCTTATTATGCACTGCAAATGAATTTAATGATGGACATACTAGTCATGTCAGATTCAGCAAAGACAAAAACTCATGACAGGAACAAAAAATAACACTACATTAAATATATACAGTGGTACCGCGACTTATGAACATCCCTACTTACAAACATTTCGAGTTACAAATGGCTCCACTCACAAAATTTTGCTTTGACTTGCGAACGTAGCATCAATTTAAGAACAAAAAAAAATTTCCTGCCCTTTTTTTTGACCTAAGTTCATCTTAGGTCAAAAGAAGAAAAAATAAAAATTCTCCCCCTAGTGGTAGAGTATGGATTAACCGGCTTTGCATTAGTTCCTATGGGCACTAATGTCTCTACTTGCGAACAGCGCCTCGACAAAAAAAACCAGCCATAACGGATTAAATGGTTTTCAATGCATTCCTATGGGAAATTTTGTCTCACCACTGTATTTCATGCCAATCAGCTCAAAGTTAAAGACACTATTTTTCTTTGCTCCTGAATTCACAGAGACATTAAAAAACAATGGAGAATTGGGCTGGGAAAAAGTTTCTGATCTTTCTGCTTATTCAGCAATGTTTTACTGTTCTCTCATTAACTCTTCAACTGCTTTTTTTGCATTCAGAATACAGTGGGCCCTCGACTTACGAACTTAATCCGTTCTGGGAGGTCGTTCGTACCTCTGAAAGTTCATAAGTCGACCTAGCATTTCCCATTGAAATGCATGGGAACAGAATTAATCCATTCCAGCATTTCAAAAAAATAAATAAATACAAAAATAAAAATAATTAAAACTTGATTGTCTATTGTATAGGATTAAGCCTTTTGTCATTTAAGAGCTTAAGTGTCAATTGTTATTTAAGAGGCTTACCTCTGGGGGACTATTAACCATCAGAAAACCACAGAGGTGCAATTCTTTAATGCTACTGCTATAGCTCTGTGAATTAATTTTTCATAAACTATTATATATCCGCTGCCTTTGGAGCTTTCAAAGGGCTTCCTCCAATGTCGGGGAAAGCCCTTTGAAACATCTGAAGGCACCGATCGCGGCGGCGAGGACCCCCAGGGAGGTCTCCCATGGTGGCGTGCAAGCCCTGGGAAACCTCCCTGGGGGTCCCCGCTGCCGCGATGGGCGGCTTCGGAAGCAAGCTGGGCTGGCCAGGGAGGAATCGGCTCCCTCCTTCTACCCGACGGTGAGTCCCCTTCGCGCCGGCTGAGCTCAGCCCAGCGCAAAGAGGACTCAGCATCTGGTGAAAGGAGGGAGCCGATTTCTCCCTGGCCGGCTTGCTTCCGAAGCCAAAAAGGCAGGGAGAAAGCGTGGGAAATTCGAACTTCCCACCCTTTCTCCCTGCCTTTTGGGTTCGTAACCCGATCTGCGTTCGCAAGTAGGGTTTACTAATTGCGATGAGATCGGGTTCGTAACCCGAAATGTTCGTAACTAGGGCTGTTTGTAACTCGAGGGCCCACTGTAATTAATCACATTCTCTTAAATACAGCAGTGTTTAAATGGAGGGAAAAGTTCTTTTAAGTTGCAAGTGTATAGTCCCTAGGAGGATGTCTTAGGGCCAAATTATGGAATGAGTCTCCCCCTCTGCCTGCAATGTGAGTAATAAGTAGAACTGCACCTTTCAAAGGAGCTTCTCTCTAATAGAGATATGGAGATCTCCGCATAGATTAACTTTGTTCAGATTTATTTTGTATTCAACATACAAGAATAAAAATACAGAAAAGGTAGTCAATATTACTTGGATATCAGATTAGGTGTACTCACTTCAATCTAAAAAAGGCATTACTTACAGGCCATGGTTGTGGAACCGAAGCAACTTCAGGAGCATGAAAATAAGCTACTCCATTATGATATGTGTACGGATATCCAGTTGATGTTGTTAAATACATTGTCCCAGCTGCTGGCATTATACTTGATCCTAAAATAAGCAGTGACAAAATAAAAACCCACGAGCGCTTTGCTTACTTACATTAGCACTATAATAAGAATAAGGATGGTGAGAAAGAGCTGAAATGAGCACGGGCCTGAAGCAGTTATACAAGTGCAGTGTAATTTCACAGTGCAAATGGAGGCTTCTAGAAACCTTCAAATTCCCCCGGAAGCTACAGTTCCACACACAGATGTTGCTCCAGGGGTGAGAGTTCGCTGATTCACAAGGGCAGCTTTTTGGGAGGGTGCCATGAAATTCAATGAGAAGAAGAGGTAGGAAAACCCTGTTCCATAAACATTGCTCATAGTTCTCAAACTCCATAAACATTGCTCATAGTTCTCAAACTCCATAAACATTGCTCATAGTTCTCAAACTCCAAGCCATTCTCTCTGTCAATCTGTTTATTATGTTGCAAAAAATATTAATTTAAAAAATCAACTCACTGCTACGTAATTAATCCCATATAATTAACATTTGAGAAACTGATGAATGTAGCGAAAAGAGAGAAACCTGCATCACTATAAAAAGATATATGCTTCACATGTTGGTCATATTCCTCCAAAGGACCGGGCCATCTTGCTACAGGGATTTTAATGTCCACTAGCAGGCAAACAGAGCACTAAATAATAATCTGTGGCACAGGAACAGTCCCATTTTTAAAAATTACATTTATCATGTCCACGATGACAATTGTGGGGTTTGGGAGTAAGTAAGCAAATACATACGAGGAATCCCTACTTGCTGCTTTCTTATTGCTGGACCAATATTCAGTTTCTTATCCTTGTAATTCAGTTTTTCAGCCTGAACAAAAGCGAAGAAAATATACACATATCATAATAATACAATAGTGTTTTATACATTATTCTCAGTCAGGAATAGAAACAGCTATGTTTTATCAGGGCATGATTGAGCAGAGTCTGTTTCTTGAAGAATTCCTAGGAATTCCTGTCTTAAGCTGACATTTTATGTCTTCTAAGGACGGGTCCTGCCGAGGAAACTTCAAAAATTAAAGTCTGGACTGCCTGGTTTAGACACAGCTCCACTAGATATAGTGTTACTAGTGGCCTGACTATAGCATTCCAACTGCTGTTCCTTGCTTGATCTCATTCCTGCAGAGAATCAGCTCTACTGGCCCTGACCTGCTCAATCTCCCGCTCATCTCCCTGTTCAACCACCATCTTCCTTTTACGCTACCCTCAATTCTACCCTCTCTGCTGGATTTATACAGTCCTGATCTCAGATGCTATGCAGATTTCACATGAGAAGTTCAAGTGATTAAAAAAATTAACAAGAAATAAACAGCCTTAAATAAATATTAAACATTTTAAAAACCAATTAATTTTACCTCTTGTAAAATTTTTTGTGCATCTTCCTGAGTTTCAAATGTGATGAAACCATACCTATGTCAAACAGTATAAGTTATTATTGTTAGCATACATTATATGTACAAACTTTCCAAACAATATTGCTGCTTCATCTTGAATACAGCATACACCGCCCACCCAGCAGTCATGTAAAAAGAGAGCAAATAATTTTTATAGCAACAACAATTTTTAATATTACATATTAATAAAGTACACAAGAGTATCAAATAAATGTTAGCTAGATTTTATTATATGTATTATTTTGATTGTGCTGCACAGAAAGCAAATGAGATTTGTATGATCTTTGCCAGAATAGCTTTTAATGGGGCAAAAGCCTAGCTTATTCATAGGAAAAACAGATTAGTACTATTTCTACCGATACGTAACACTTTACTATGGATTATGGTTCAGTACTATCTGCATTATTGTGCCCGAATATAACAGAAGTTTCCTAAGCAGTCATTTTGAACACACATGGAACAGGAACCTGCATTTCCTGTCTGAGAAATGTCTAGAGCTTACCCTAACTATTTGATTTTATTTGTCAATCCACTCACAGAATTTTATTTATATTTGTCTGTGGGGAACCTGTGGGTACCACGCTGCTGGAAAGGAAAACCAACTGCAAACTGTGAGAAGTGTGACCAGCAGGTGAGTTCTACATCAAGGTTACAGCTTGGTTTGACTCCCTGCCATCTCCCTCCAACTGCACGCTTAGAGGAATGCAGCTCACACCTTCCCACTCTGTTCAAACTCCCAAGCGACACAGCAGTTACAGCAACAGAAATAAAATGAGCAAATGCAGTCAGTGTGGCACATGCAGCAGAGCAGGGAGCTGGATTATGTGAATCTGCAGATCACTTGAAAATTACATGTATGTAACCTGTTTTTCTTTTTCATGGTCTTTGTAAGAATAGAAAAAATAAACAAAGACACAAGGAGACAGGAAGACAGTGGTCACCTGTTTGTTCTAGCCACTACTGTGAAGTTTGAAAGAGAAATGAACAAAAAGGAGAAGGGCATGGGCCTGTAAGTGTGTGACAAAAAGATAGGGGCGAGGCTTTTACCAAGCTCACACCTAGCTACAGAAACCTCCCAAGAAGGCTTTGATGCAGAGACAGAACCCATGGGAGAAACTGCCCAGATACTGTGAAAAAGAGTTGTTTAAAGCCAAGAAGAGCACACATAAAAATGTAACTAGCACAAATGTTAATACTTTGGATACTGAATATTTAATTTCTGCTGGTTTCATGTGTCTATCTGTTTTGTATTTTTAAAGGGTTTGAATTATTAAGCATTTCATTATCATCTCTTTCGTCACCTTCAGAAGTTTTTGCAAATAAGTAGGAGTCACCAGTTGTTCTAGTTCCTATTCTTTCCACTGCATTTTTTAAAATTTTAGTCCCATGAGTTGTCTTCCCATGTAATTCTTCATATTCATTGCATCTGTAAGTTCCTTCCTCCATTATATTTCAGTAACAATATGATCTGTATGGGTTGTATATTATAGTATATGTGACAATTTCAGTTCCCTTTGTATTATAGTAAGACCTCCATATCCGCTCAATCAACATCCACTGATTCACTTATCTACAGTCTGGAAATATTAAAAATATTAAATGAAAGTATTTACAAATATGGATTTTCAAGATGTAATTATCAGACTGGCCACAAGAGGGAACCAAACAGTACATTATGTGTAGGAAAGACAACACCATTTTGCTTGGTCTCCTGGCAGCTTGCGGCAGCTTCCTCCCACAGCAGTGTTGTCATTGTAAAACTCAAGAGTTGGATTGGCTGGTGAAGCAGGAGGAGCACTGATCTAAGTCAAACTGCTCCTTGGGAGATGTTATCCACCTCCTGCCATTCCTGCCTTCCCTTTCTTCAACACTCCCTAACAAACAAGGAAATTCTTAATTGTCTTGGGAAAAAACCCACAGAGCCACTGAGATATTGAGATTGTGTGTGCACATGTGTTTGTGTGAAAAGGAGACAAAGGCTGTTGTCTTCAGCACAGGCATGAGAGAAGATTTCAGTTTTGTTCTTATTCATTGAGGCCCCGTCGAGATAAATATTACAGGCACAGGGGAGATCCTCAGTCCAATAGACTGTGTTAGCTATAAACCACACTTTTCACCAACTGATCCCCCCGCAGATATGGGGATCATCTGTATTTATAGTAATTTTATGTGTATATGAAAATTAGCTGGTTGCCCAGTAGAAAAAACAAGTTGATTAATAAGCAAACATGGTGTGTGAGAGTTAGAACCATAATGACTGCTGGGGAAGTGCAAAGAGGGGGAGATTTGCTTCAGTGCAACTGGGACACGAGATGCTGCTTTTTCTAATACAGGTATGTACAGTAGGAGGGAGTGAAGAGATGATAGAGAATTTAATGTAGTTATTTGGGAATTCATATTTAGCAGGGAAGAGATATGATTAGGGACCTTAGGAATGTGTATGTGAGACAATTAAGATTGCAAATTATAGGTAGATGAGACTTAGATTAGGAGGAACAGCATAAACATGAAGATTAGCTTTGAGATATACAGTGGTGCCTCGCTAGACGATTACCTTGTGAGACGAAGAATCCGCAAGACAATTGGTTTTTGCGATCACTACGGTGCCTCGCAAGACTTTTTTTTCTATGAGTGTGCTTCGCAAGACTTTTTTTTAAGACCGATGCTTCACAAGACTTTTGTTATTTTAATCCCAAGTATTTTTTTAAAATAAAAATATTCCTTGCTTTATGCAATGAACAAGTAGCCAGGATTAACTTTCTTAGGGAAAGCTGCTTTACAAGTTTGGCTCCTCTCCCAAATCCTTATACAGAAAATAGAGAAAGGTATAAATGTAAAAAAGAAGAGGAAAGTAATGGCCCAATACTGAAAAAATGACACAAAATTTGTAACAGAAGTCCAACAATCTGACAATTTTAGGTAAATGAGTTGCAACATCCTTATGCTGGAAAACATGGGAAACCTCATAAACCAAATTCAATGCAGCTCTGATCTATATGGTTGGAGTGTGCAGAAACCTTCTTACCTAAGATAAAATATAAAATAGGAAACAAGAGGGGGATCACATTTTCTAAAAAATGAGATTCTCTTGATGTAGATTTTAAGGCCCCTATGGATGTCTAACTTGTGCCATACTTCCTCAGTAAAGACAGAAGCTAGAAGAAAGTAAAGCCAGGACATGTGATCTGTCAAAAAAAGTTTAGATTTAAAAGAATGACTGTCTGGGTCCAAATCTACAGATGGTACATTCCAGACAAGGGTCTCCAGTTCTGACATACATCTGGCTGAAGTGACTGCCATTTAAAAGCCACTTTAAAGAAGAACAGTCAAAGAACTGAATGGAGAGGTTTGAGTGGGGACTTGTTGAATACAAGGTAGCTGTTCCAGAAAGAAAAGAAGTGAACAAGACAAGTTCTCAGGGGCACTTCCCGCTTCATGTGGGAGAAAGGGCTAATACAGTGGGGTCTCGACTTATGAATGCCCCTACTTGCGAACAATTCAACTTACGAACCCACCCTATAGGGGAAATAAGGACTCAACATACGAACTTCCCTCAAGTTAGGTACAGGAAAAAAAGTGCCCCCTCCCTCCTCTTAGAGGCTTCTGGAGGGGAAAAAAGAGTCAGAAACTTAAAAATAAATAAAAGAAAGTCACTTACCAGGACTTGGTAGCCCCCAAACAGCAGGAAAAAGAGCAGGAAACAGCTAAAAGCCGACATGCAGAAGGGAGCCTGGCAGCCATTTTGTGATTTTTCCCCGCTCCTGCACCCTCCTCTCCCCGCCTATCAGCTGATGGACTGGCTCTGAAGAGGCTTGGAGAGGCTTGCTCAGCAGCTAAAAAGCCTGCCTGTGTGTCTTTGTGCTGAAAAAAATCAGCACAACATGCTTTAAAGCATGATTTAAAATTGGCTTCGTTGAAAAAAAAGATTTCTAAAGTGCTTTGCAAACTGTTCCCTGCCTTCCTCCTCGTTTCCTGAACCTAAGGGAAAAAAAGAAAAAAATATCCCCCTCTAATCGCAGAAGGCGGAAGAGCAGTTTCCCATTAGTTTCTATGGACAGAAAAGAGCAGATACAGATTAAATGGTTTTCAATGCATTCCTATGGGAAATGCAGATTCGACCTAAGAACTTTTCGACCTAAGAACCACCTTCCAATACGGATTAAGTTCGTAAGTCGGGACCCCACTGTAGGTGCCTTATCCTGCCTGCAGACAACAAAGGGCCATGACATGTCATTTAACGCAGTGGCCCCCAACCTTTTCTGAACTGCAGACCAGTTGGGGGGGACAGGGCACCCCCTGCGCTCACGGGTGGGGGCACACTTGCGTGCATGCACAGAAGGGTGCTCACGGGTGGGCGGGGCACTGGTGTGTGAGGGTCACCATGCGGGATGCATGGGAGGAGTGCGTGCAGGGGGGGCAGGAGATCTGTCTCCACGGCCCAGTTCTGCCATGGCTGCGGACCGGGGCTTGGGAACCCGATTTAGTGTAGTGGGCTAAAGCCCCAAGTGCAGTTCAGACTACAGAAATGGTAAAAGTTCTTGGATGTCAATGGTGGTATGATAGATGGACTTAAGCCTGTTTCAAGAGAAGAATGGGAAGGTGCTATGAAGATTACAAAACGAAGTGAGTGAGTGAGTAAGTAAACGAACAATCAAACATTGTGTTAATGTGCCTGTCTGATTAGCTCAGCCTCAAATAGGATTCCCTTTCAGAAGCAGTTTGGCTAAATGGAACCAGTACGAGCCGAGGTGATAGCAACAAGAAATAAAGTCTTAAGAGACAAAAACTTCAGGTCACAAGTAGCCATAGGCTCGAAGGGAGGATGGACTAATGAGTGAAGTACAACTTGCAAAGACCATTGGGGCAAAGGCCGTCTCACAGGGGGCCGCATGTTAGACAGGCCTCTGAAGAAGGCTTTCACTGTTGGATGAGAAAACCATCTGGAAGACTGAGAGTCTTGTGGTTGAAAAGTCACTATAGCCGATGTGTAGACTTTCAATGTAGACTTGGTTAGAC